AAAATTTTAAAAAACAAATAGAAAAAATTATGTATTTCTCCACAGTTTATTTTATTATTATTTAATTTAAGTGGGACCCACGAGAAAAAAATTTTAAAAAAAAATAAAAAATATTATATCGCCACATGATGACATAGAATCAACGGTAAAAATATATATATATTAGATTTTTATTATTATTTTTGTATTTAAAATAATTTAGGAGCTTTTTTTTAGATATTTTATTTATTTATCTGTATATATACGCTATAGACTTATACAATAATGAAATAATTAAGAATGATATTTTTACTTTGCATGATATTAGATCCGATTTTTTTCAAATCTTATCATCTTTCGTTGTTCAAATTTGACTCGGCCATTTTCACCATCTATAGTTCAAACATGAATATATGCAGTTCAGTCCTTCTGCTTACATTAATATAATCGTATAACCTCTTGGGGAGGTTTCGATTGTATGTCTTCTCACTCATGTTCTCTTCCTAACTATTTTTGGGAGTCTCAATCTCACTTTTAATCGGACTGTAAATTTTACTATCGGTGAAATGCAATAGTGTCAAATAGCCCAAATATGTTGTCCAAGCAGAGTCTAAGTTCCACTATAATGTATCATCTTGAACACAAGTTCTCAAACACATAGCATGGTCACTTTGAATTGTTACAGAAAACATTCAACTCTTTGTCATTGTTATATTTGCAACAATTTGCCACTTCAAATTCTTTATTCACACGGAGTTGTCCTTCAAGTGGATGTCTAAATCTCTTTCCAATAATTTTTCCAAACTAAAAACATATGTTTTCAAGTTTGAAACATAATAAACATTCGAAATGAATTAATGTATACCATTTTTCAATTGGGTCAAGATGTCTTATTTTCTATGAATCACAATCTTGTATTTATCTTCAAATGTGACTTGACCAGTGGCCGTCTTAATATCATAGGAAATACCTTTATTATCTGTCATATGGTTGTTTGCTTTCGTATCCAAGTACCATATGTTTTCTTCATTTAAATTATATTTGTGGCCACTAATAGTGTTAGTTTTACGTCATCTTCGAAAAATCCAAATGTTTTCTTCATTTAAATTATATTTGTGGCCACTAATAGTGTTAGCTTTACGTCATCTTCGAAAAATCCAAATGCTTTCCTTCTCAAAACACTTTTGTCGTTTTGAAATTCAAAAGCATAGTGTCCTCATCTGACAATTGTAGCAATCTATATGGGACTTCTCTTTTCGACGAGTGTTTCCTCAACCACTGCCCCGAGTAACCTTATTTTAATCTTTTCAGTAATGTTCATTCATTTGTTCATCTTTCCCACTTTTTCCAAAACTTCAACCTCATCCTTATCCATGTTTTTCGAGATTGTTCCATTTCACGAATTCTTCTTTCCAATTGATAGCCTGGATAGAAGAGCTTCATCGATGGGTTTTTTCCTTTTGTTTTTTATTTTTTCATTATACGCCTCTAGAGAGCTCATCAATTGTTCAATGTTGGAAAGTATAAATCCTTCGACTCTTCAATCGCCACAACAATATACTTGAACTTCTCGGTGAGTGAGCAAAGAATCTTCTCCATAATCTCCAACATTCGTCATCTTCTCTCCATGCCTCTTCATTTCATTACCTACATTTGAAACTCTTGAGAAATAATTTGAAACTTTCCTTGGATTCCTTCATTTGAAATGCCTCAAATTCACAATTTAAGGATTGAAGACACGTCTTCTTTACTCTATCTCCTCCTTGTAGAGATTCTCGAAACTCTCCTATGCTTCTTTCTTCGTTAGGGCATTCAAAATCCTTTCGAATGTGTCATCATCTAGACATTGGTAGATGATAATGAGGGGTTGTTTAACCTTCATCTTAAATTGTACTAAGGTTTTCCCCTTTGGAATGAACCCGGTGTAGCATCTCCTTCTTGATGTTTTTCGCCCGCAACAATATTTCAAACAGTCTTGAGAGCCTAATAACACCTTCACTCGGATACTCCAAGTGCTATAGTTATCTTTTCGGAGACGAGGAAATTGGATTGGGAACACATTTTGTGCTATACTCATTAATAATCACTTTCATACAATGACACAACAAGCGATTCAACACAAGAAATTTATTGGCAAACTACCAATAACATCACGATGAAGGACTACTACGGAAAAACGACAATAAATTTCAGCTACTCCCACAAAATATGTAAAAATAAAAAATAAAAAATAATTTTATTGAAGGAGAATTCCATTGGCTACAACAGGCTAGCTCACACTGTGTAACACTTATGTAAGCTCAAACCGGAATATCACTATCGAGCCACACTGGAAAGTTCATTCATTGACTAGCGAATCTTACATTGTAGCGCAAAGACTAAAATACCTTACACAAGAAACTAAATGTAAACCTAAAAGATAATGCGCAACGTCTTATCATATAAATAAATAAAATTTGGGTCAAAAGTATAAGTTAGAAATTAGTTCATAAAGACTTAATTCTTAAAATATTAGTAGTAAATTCAAAAGCATCCTAATACATGAGATAGTTCTGTTTCCTCCCAATGGATCATGCGACGTTGATGAATCATCTAGACTTAGCAGAAGCACTATCACCTACAAAAAATTTCTAGAAAGGGTATCAACACAATGGTTGAGCAAGCACAATAAATGAAAGGTAAATTAATACGAGATATGTCAAGATTCTTCTGCCAATACCACACAATCATTTGGAAAAAATAGATTAAATGAAATTGCACATAACACATAATGACAACTCACACACACAAATCTTTTAGTGTCTCATTATGTCTTTTTTTTATCTCAAATAATTTTGATGAACACATCACAAAGAACACTCCGCTAGGCCTTAATTAAGGCCGACTCGACTCGATTTACCAACCTTATTCCTTTGTTTGATATGTCACACAAATACACATAGAAAATATAAGGTCACAACCCTCAGAAAACTCTACAAAAAATTATATATAAGAATTTAAGGTCCAAAGTACGCATATGACAACTTATTTATTAGTTTGCAAGGGACGCACAACGACCAAATCTCTAGTTGCATACATAACATACCAAGAGGGAATCGTACACAATACATCTATCAATCACGGATGACGGTCTAAAGACCATTCTATTGTGAATGACGTGCACTTCGAAATCACACAAAAGGGAACCCATTCATCTCGGTGCCACGACCTAGCTCATTCGAGTTCATCGACAAGTCAATCGGACTCGACGAGTAGTTTCAATTAACAATTTAACCTCATATCTAACATGCGATTAGACAAACCTTAAAAATAAATTTCAACTCGAAAATATCCCAATAACAAATATTTAGCCAACTAACCAATAAAGGCATCAACCAAGGTTCATGCTTTACAACATAAATGAAAACAAAAGAAAAATGTTCAAATTTGCTCATAAAATATTCTTTACTTATCAACATTTTCATTAAGTAGCTAAAGCAAAAAGAAAATATTAAAATCCAACAAATTCATTAACAATCTTATTGTTTTGCCAAACAACCATTTGGATAATATGTTCATTAAAAATATATATAATTTAATTCTAAAAATTATAATATTTACCGATAATCACAAACTTTTCTCTAAGCACCATAAATTAGGCTAGGGGAAATTAGAATTTTTAATCCATTTCACAAATTCTACATTTTCAACTTAAAATAGCACAATAATCTGCATAAGCCTTAGAAGAAAATCCTAATCAACTTTCTAAAAAAAATAATAATAAAATGTAACACTTTTAGAATAAACTCATTGCATATAATTTGGAAATTATCACATAAAACCAACAAATAAATCTGAAACATATATCTTATTCGTCTTAAAAGAAAAGACAAAAAAAAAAAAATTGGAGAAAAAAATTTTCAACTCTCTTTTTTTTGTTTCTTTGAATATTAGACATGAACCAAAGTTTTTTTTTTTTTTTTGCTTCAAAATGACCCAAAATCCATTTGACCTCCAAACTCTAACCTAATTTATCGATTTTTTGTAAAGAAAATTCAAAATAAATTAAACCCCAAAAAGAAAATTGCCCAACTCCGGTTCAGACTTCGGCAAATTCCGACAAACTTTCAGCATTTTATTTACGGGATATTAAACATTGATTTATGTAAGTCTAACTTTCTTGGTTGCATTTGGTTACAAGAGAGACTTATAGAATTGGAGATAACATTCTTGATTATTGAATATCTCTTTCACCTTCATTTTCTTTCAACTATATTCCAAATCTTTTTTACACTTCTATTTTCTAACTTTGTCCTTCATATCTTAATTTCTTCTAATCTTCTACAAATTCAAGTTGAATTTCACAGGCACGCTCCACGTACTTCCTCTTCTCTTTTCTTCTTAGGGGATGCTTTCCTTTGTATATTGTGTGTTTGAATGATTGATTTTCTAGAGATTCCATAAAACAGGTGAGTGATTGATTTTCTAGAGATTCCATGAAACAGGTGAGAGGGTGTACCTTGGTTGAATTCATTGGTTGTCGACTCGCCTCAAAACTGTCTTACTACTAAACACACACACACAATATAATCAAAACTGCAAACAAATCTGTACGGATTGGACTTGTGACCGTGAAGTGATGAGTTCAAACCCCCGACACCTCAGGTCACCTGCCACACATGGTTCGCCTAATGTGACTTTCCCGTCGAACCTGATTTGCAGGATATTAAGTTCGGCCGAGGGTTTACCCAATACGCACTTTCGGATATCGATTGCAGGTTCCCACGTCATCCAAAAAAAAACCTACCGACAAATCCTCCGACACCTCAGGTCACCTACCACACGTGATTCGTCTAGTGTAACTTGTCTGTCGGGCCTAGTTTGTACGATATTAAATTCGGCCGAGGGTTTACTCAGTGCGCACTTAAAAAAAAAAAAAAAAAAAAAAAAAAAAAAAAAACCTGCAGACAACCCAGCGCATGTGGTTTCCATGTATAAAAAATATAATAAAAAAACTGCTAATATGAGGATGAAGGAGAGGGTAAGTAACAAATCAACTGAAGATAGCATAAATTTCCTCTTTTCAAAACAAATGGCTAGAATACAACAAATTCCACAACATAGAGGGGAAGAATAAATACATGGCCATCCCGGGATTAAAACAAAAAAAAGGAAAATGGAACAACTATTACCGGCTCATCTGCGCCTATTCCTGGGAGAGCTAAAGGATTGTGTACTTGAACCTCTAGAGCTTCTGCTAGGAGAATCTACAGACCCCCTAAAAGAAGCATATGCTGCTTTTGCTGATTCCGGAGCAGAATCCAACGGCAGTTTCTCCACAAAGCATGCCGTGTTAAGTCTTGTACGTTCCAGCTCACTTTGAAGTAGTTCCGAACTGTACTGCTGAGCAAGAGCCTAGTAGAAACCAATAAATAGGAAATCAATGCACAGACCACAAGCACGCATAATCATAATCAATGGAATGTGATGTATCTATCTAATTGTGGGATGGCAAATGAAATCATTCAAGGGTGTTCAAAATAAACTCCTATGTAATGTCATTAAAACTTAATGCTGATTTCAAACCCCCTAAGTTTTGTCTCCACTAAACAGTTACTTCCAACATTATATCTCAGCAAGATGAATATATTAACCAACACTTTGCCAAACAAGAGAAGCCGTCAGAGTTAAGATAAATGGATGCCTAAAAAGTAACAGAACAGTAAAGCAAATAAACTACAGAAAAACATTTAGAATAATATTAATACTTACAATCAGGTCATCCGGTGAAACACTCGATCCTGATTGTCTGTCATCGGCAAGCACATCATCACTTCCACGTGTAGCCCTTCGTTGATGGCTTGGTGTCTCAACAGTCTCATTCACAGTTTCTATGGCCTTCTCCAATAGAAGTCCTTGTAATGATTTAAGAGATTCCCTTGCATCATGAGTGAAGTAAGGATTCAATATGGTCTCAAAATATTCAAGCTGCAGAACAAAGACGTAATAAAGGTCAAACAATCAGAATCGAAATTTTTCTTAAAAATTAAAAAGTAGGGCATTTGCAGTGGGCTGCTAAATTTGATCCATAAAGCTCACAGAAGCCTTTCTACGTTGTGCATGGTCATAGCAAAACTTTACAGTAGACTTATCTTTCAACACTTCTTATGTCCATAATTAGTCCTCTTCATATTATGTCACTAGTAATTTTTTCTAAACTCCAATGTTGACTCATGTTTTCTAAGAACACCGTAATATCTTCCAGCCAATGATATGGAAATCCCCCAGAGTTCTATTTTATCCAGCAATTCAGGACATTCAAGTACAAAATATCAATCTCTAAGCAGGCATTTGGTACGCAATTTGAGTCAGATTGCATTCTGATTGCGGAAACTCAACACATCGGAAGGTGTGTTTGATTGCTCAAATTTTGGGAATGATTTCAATGTAATGTCATTAAATTAACACGGGGCATGGGACTTGCTCAATCCTGATTCCATATTATTTGAGTCAGGAAAGAATAAAACGGCGATGGCAGAAACAAAACATATATATATGTTTTTTTATGGTATATAGTAGCATAAAAGAACTAATTAATAGCATTTCAAAACTATTGGGCAACAAGAAAGAATATAATGGCATGGGACTCCTTCCAATTCCCAATATCTATTCCCAGTTCTAAACACCTGCTAGAATATCATCTTCTTCAGGAAAGAATAAAACAATAACTACAGGAACAAAACATTATATGCATTTTTTGCCACATAGTAGCGCATAGAAGAGCTAAGTAAAAGCATTTCAAAACTATCAGGTACAGCAGTAATTTAGGAAAGGTTTTCAGATTGCAAATGACAAAACAACTTACCTCAAGCATTAGCTGAGAAAATCCGTTCGCATCTAATGCCCTGATATCTCTGTCTTTGTTTTCATTAAAGAGGTCAAGGAATATATCAATTAAGCCCTCAACAAGAATGCCGAGAGTCTTGTCTAGCAAAGGTTTACAGTAAGCAAAAACCTGCAAGAATATTAAAAAATCTCTTCAAAAGACGCCCAAGCATAAACCCAGTAACGTGTAGAAATTTTACCTGTTTTTAAGGAGTATTTCTTTAATTAATCCATGTAGTTTGGACAAGGAATGATCTTGTAAAGAAATTCATGAAAATTTATTCAAATTTCATTTTGTGAGACAGAAAAGTACCTCTGCATGCACAGCTACCAAGGTATGAAGTAAGTCAACCGCCACATCCCGAACTCCCTACAAGGTTTTAGGTATTTACCTAAGGAGAACATACTAATTGTTAAATTAAAAAGAGAAGTGATTCCTACCTTGACAGCAGGTGTAGCTCCCCATTGAATTCCAGCGTCCGACAGGTAATTTTCTGCAGCTGATCTGATCACATTTGTCTGGGAAGTTGAATGCAAAAATGAACAGATGAACAAACTAACAAACTGATAGACAAGATTTGAATCACAACACATGTCTCGTATAAAATTTTAGCCCAGTCAACTATATTGCTACCACATAGTAGCCTTTTCAGCTTTTTCTTTTTATTATTATTTGTATTTTGCCCATTTTAAAGGCATCCAAGTGTCCAAATACCTTTAGGGTGTGTTTATTTAGGGGTTTGAATTTTGAGCTAGGATTTGAATAGTAAAAAATTTGAATTTGAATAGTTGTATGATGTGATATAAATAGGTGTTAGATGTAATGTTTTGAATGTAAAATTGATTTTTAGTACATGATAAAAAATGAAAAATAAGTATCTGATTTGATGTTTTTTTGAAGAAAAATTTGATAAATAGTGGAAATTGGGGAAAATCCCCCCAAAACAAACACAGCCTTAATTCTCTCAGAAAAATACAAGAGTAAAATAGGGAAAATAATAATACATTACATTATATGAAGACACCATTAATAGAAGGCAATACTATAAATTACACGGTATCAAATCAATTGCAAAAAAGAAGTCAACACTCTAATTTTACGTTACACCTAACACAAATACTCCTCCCCTTAAAGATGGTCAAAGCTATCTTGGTTACCGAACAAACCAGAAGTTTAGCCTAAAAAGCAAATAGATGTGTTGTTTTAAGCTCAGGAACTTGGAAAATGTAAACTTGCTGTTAATGTCACTTGTTTTATGTTCTTTTGTAGTCCTTCCATGAGATAAATAGTCCAACTGTCTCATAAAGCTGTTATAAATTAACTTAGATCTGACTCAATAATCTTGAGTCAAGCTTAAACTCAAAGTCAAATTTCAACAACGTTTTTATCTAGTCATTACTTATAAGTTAAGTGGTGGGGAAATATATTTCAGGCATTAGAAACTAAGTTTGCTCATGGAAAAGATTTAGAAGAGAGTATAGAGAGATTGTCAGACAAAGTATAACTATGTGACAAATGGTTAGATTCACCTACCTTGAATAGGAAAAATAACTCAGAATTTTACCCCGGAAAATTTTTTGGCACATATAGAAGCACCACTTTTAAGTTCTAACTATATAAATGAAAGCAAAGCAATGAATTAAGAGTACAAACTAGAAAAATAAGTTGGCCTGTAAGGCTTGGATTTCAACACTTTAATTTGCTAGCTCACACTGTCAATGAGTGAGATTAAACTGCAGTTACTCAAACTTGCTGAAAATGGAAAGCTTCCAGACAACCATAAAATATATATTTCGTGGTTGTTTAATTAAAAACCTTACAAAATCCAGTTGTATTATCTTCACCATTTATTTCCAAAAGCCTTAAAAAAACAGAACAGTTAGTCTTTTGTTATTTGTTGACATACAATAAAAAATAACTACCAGCAGTTATAAACAACACATGATAACAACTAGAAGTCAGAAATGAGTTAAGCAGGCTAACATAAACAAATAGGATATTTAACACATGAATATGTACCGTTGTTGTACAAAGCATCATGTACATCAAACATGGAAAATCATTTGCTTACCTTTGCAACAGTGTATTGTTCAAGAACCTTCTCTTCAAGGTTAGATTTAGAAATAACCAAATCCTGCATGTCACTGTCCTCGTCACCTTTACCCCTGCAATCAGATAGCAGCCCTCATATTGGATTTAGAGGAGGTAAGCAAGATAATTGAAACAAGACCAATTTGATAAATAACAACAATATTGCCAAAGAAGGCACCCATTTGATAAATAAGAACAAAATTTACATAAAAATCAGAAGCCCAGCAGTAAAAATTGCAGAAAGCGGCAGGATTCAAAAGGTAGGTAAAATGGTGTATTTATGAAAAATATAGGAAACTTATATCCAATATAAGTTTTTCCAAACTAGAATATTAAGCTAAATTAGAATATAGAAACTTTTGGAGCAAAAAGCATTAGTATATAGCTCATATGCATTTCACAAGCATACTACCAAGTATGTTCCTCATGTACCTAGATTGCACCCAAATATATTTGTATCTTCCATATAATTCACCAGCAAGCTCATCTCTGGAATATCCAATATTACTTAGGACCATTAGCAGCCGTTTATATGGATCAACAATACTTCCAGGAGGAGGATCAACTAATTTTTCCACTGGCTCATGAGAAAATCCATTTTGGAAATGTGAACTTTCAATGTTTGCTCTATTCAGTATAAGCTCAGAGCCAAGTTGCTCCAAATGACCTGATTCATGAATCCAGAAAACAATTACGGTTGTTAGAAGTACCATTTCTTTCCTTCGGAATTGAAATGAACATCTTTAAGCTACTCATAAAGCTAAAATCAATGAAGATGAAAATAGTAGCAGCAGAGAGCACATCATGCTTCATACTTGAAAATTCCAGAAAGCAGTTGAAAAAGGCAAGTCTAACTGATTCTTGAATATCTTGAAGCTGTGCAAGAACATCCTCTGATTTTTCTGATTCAGTGTGCAATGACAGCAGCACCCTGAAGACAATCAACAAAGAATGCAGATACTCAATTAGTCAACTTTCTTACAAATGCAACACTTGACATTATCTGCAAGTAATTACTACAGGATTTATTGTCCCTTAGGCTTCATGGGATAAGGAGAATGTTTTTTATAATAATATATGTGAGCAAGCAAGCACAATCGCCACAGTAACTCAATGTAAGAGAATATAAATTTTGGCAGATTAAACAGGCAGCTAATATAGGCTATTCGGTCATATATAGCACAGAGAAGGCTAATCTCATGTTAGAATCTTTTTTCTTTTCTTTTCTTTATAATTATTATTATTATTATTATTATTATTATTATTATTTTGGTATCCTTCATGCTAATGGCAAACCTATTATCTTACATTCATATCTACTATTAATCATCTACACAACTTTGCCTTATTAACTGTAGAGACGAAGAGATGTTACAACAGAATGGTAGAAATAACAAAATGAAAAAAATGAGGTTAAGAACATACGCATTGATTTGATCCATTGCTGAGGTGATAACTTCCCGGAAAGCCAAAGGCAATGATGTGATAGTATACGGTGACTTGTGTCTTTCCAAAATTGACACTGGCACCCAAGATTCATCTTTTGATATCTCTTCAATGGTGACTCGCATCCATGAGCAAAGCCTTGCTATGTAGATTTTTGAGATCTCAAATTGGAGGGTTTTCAATACAGTCACTGAAACAACAAAAGGATAAGCTTAAGAAAATTGGATAGATGGTGACCTTCAACAAGGGACTGTCGGAAAATGATTTGTTTTCCCTCTGAATTCAACACTAAGTTTACCAGCAACTGTAGGTGCTGAATCTTTTGCTTCAAATGCCCGAATTGCTTGAGAAACTTCCTTTATAGAATCGTTCATGTACTGACAGAGGATGTTGTACTCCTCAAAATCATTAAATGCACTAAGGACCTGCCAAAAATATAAACATAGCACATAGTAATCCAAGCAGTTAAGTCATAATTCAAAGAAATAAATAAATTAAAAAAAAAAAAAAAAAAAAAAACTAAAACTAAATAGCTCATTCCTGACCACAGCTGGAACAATTATATATGTTCAAATGTAAACGAGAATTCCAAATAGTACAGTCATCAAAAGAAATACACCTCAGCTCAGTACCTATCATTCTTAAGCCAATAATCAGAAGCATAATAAATATTCTCCTCCAAACAGAAAAACATCTGATCCCAGATATTTTCAAATCAAACATAGATAACAAATGGCATTTACCTTAGACTCATAGGCCGACAGGGTATCGCGAATCATCTCAGAAACCTCATCAAGAGAATCTCCTACTTTATCCTCAGCTTTATGCAAATTACTATTTGTACTTGGATCAGTAGAAACTTGAGAAGACTGAAGCCAGATACAACCGAGAAACAATTAGATCAAATTGCTAATCTCATACACTTCCCTTGTTACTTAGTAATAGATGAAGTAGAAGGTGCTAGGGTGAGAAGACATAAAAGATGGGATGCATATTAAGTGCAAACGGCTCCAATTCTGATGTTCTATAGCTGCTCCAAGAGAGAGAACACATGCATCAAGCGGATATGTTACAATCTAAAATGATGGGATAAGGATTTATACCTTTGCAAACTTTCCACCGGAAACTGAAAGTGCGACTTTCCAGAAGACTGGTACATGATAGATGAGTACTGCAGTCAACTTGCGAATGTATCTATGGCGAAGGACATCAAGTTCTTCACTAGTAATTTCAACAGGGAACAAATCTTCACTTGGATAGGAGTTTGCAGCGGTAATAGTGTAATCCCCAGTTGACTGACATTATATATGTGGCATTAATTACATTATTGATTAGAGAGGAAACAACTAACTAGAAGGAAGAGCATCAATTGCCTACAAAATCTTGCACGTACAGGTTGATTTATGTCTTGTTGAATTTGCATCCAATTAGCATCAGCCAATGCCTTCTCGCGTAGCTCGTTTTGCAAATTGTCCATTTGAGCTTCATAATCTAGAGTGCATCTTTCAAGCAACCCTCTTATCTTGCGGTTCTGTTCACAATTAAACAAAAAAAGAAAAAAAAAAAAAAAAAAAAAAAAAAAAGAAAGGAAAAAATTGGTACATACTTTTCTGTCGTTGGGCAGCCAAACAATGTATTTTCTTACTCAGGAAAACCAAAAGAATCCCAATTTCATTAACATTAAAGAGTATCTAACAGAAATTTAAGTTTTTAAGAGAACCATCAATTCAAGAAGAAACAGCAACAATACAACCATAGTAAGTAGTACTCTCTCCATCCCAAGTCAGATGACCCATTTTGTTTGGGACACGGTATTTTAGGTAGTGTATATTATTATATTAGTAAATTATTAATAATAAGGTATGATATTATTTTTTATATGAATAATGTTGTTGGTATTTTAAATATTGTTAATATTATATTTTAATAAAATAAAACAATATAAATATCATTTTGTAGATAATAAAATTTTATATACTACAAATAAATAAAAAATATATATTTATTTCTTTATAATTAACATTAAACTAATTTTACAAAAATAGACGATTCCACATATCGAGGTCGGAATGGGATCGGGTTATTACTTTCAAAAAATATTGCTGAAAATCAAAGAAAGAAGATTTTAAGTCAAGGAAGGGGAAGACAGCACAAAGTAATCCAACCTGGCAAAATGAAATTTTAAATATAGATAAAATTGAGGAGAGGGATAGAAATAATGGGATTTTGAGTGGGTCTAAGTGTAGGAGGTTAAAAATTTAATTAAATTAATTTATATTTGTTAAGTATGTTTAAGAATAAATTTACTAAAAATAAAAATGAATCATCTTTCATGAGACAGACCAAAAAAAAAAAAAAAATGTCATATGTGGCGGGACGGAGGGAGTATAATAGATGTCACAGTAAGAACAAGATATGATCACCTGTATGCTCAAGTAATGTTTTATGGGATCTGACTCAGGTTCAAGCTCCAACAATAGCCGCACATTATTTTCAAGCTACATTAAGAGTTGAAAAAACATCAGATGAAGACAATAGAGGACCTTGTTTTAACTAAAATATAGAACAATCCAATTTTTATCTTTCTTGATTTATTTAAATTACGGAGAGCATTCATTCCTTCATAAAATTATCTTGTAATGATTGTCACAACCCCAATCTCAGAGTGTATGCATGTGTCCCAGTTTCACATTCTATTTCTATCCATGGCAGTATGAATGTTGAGAAATGGGAAGGGAGCAAGGGTCGGACATATTTTCACAGATACATGAAACACAACTAGCAATAAAAATTCTACAAGATACTAGCTTTGTCAAGAAAAAGAGGTCAGATAAAATAAAATGAGTAAATAAATTTCTTCAGTGTCATGAATCTTGACATCTACTCCCAATGGAGTCAAGCTTTTCTTTTCTTTTTCTTTTTAATATTCCCAATATTGCTCAACATTACCAAATTCAGGCAGTTGTGGTGCTTACCTTTCAGGGGAATAATCCACCCTCAAAAATATCACCATCACATCAGACAAACTTTTTTCAAAAATATGTTTCTTACGATACATGCCCAAATATTGAAAGGATAATAATCCTAATGTGTACTTAAATAACACTCAAAAGTCTCAAACCCGTACACACACATGCATTCACATTGAACATAGCATACACCCTAAACCTAATAGCTTCCTCTTTATATTTTAACATCTTCCCATCATTAAATAATAAATATTATATGTATAGTATATAAACACAAAAGCAATCAAATTAGATACATATAAAAAATTTAGACCAAAAAGCAAAGACCACTTTCAAGGATCCTTGAAGCTAATCTAGTATAGCTTAAATATTTCCCATAGAGATGGCAATGGATTGGGTATGGGTCGGATCCATTCGGACCCAAGAATCGAACCAAATACACATCATTAGACCTGATACCTGAATCGAATCCAAATATACCCAAACCCCGCAATACCTTAACCCAAGCTGAGAGGCATACCCGATAAAACCCAAATAACCTTTGTACTCTTATATATTTTACCCAACTTGGACCTAAACCTGGATCATATATACATCAAAATTTATATATTTATTTCCAAAAAAATTATAATAAAACATCAATAAATCAAACTAACATAAATTTTCTTTTTGAATAATTACAATAATAGAAATTATTTTTCCTTAAATATCATTGCTATATTTAGTGTATTAATCAGGTCAAATCTCAGTCCAGGTCTAGGACACTGCTGGAACCGGACCCCAATAGGGTATATAATACCCAACCCGATACCCAAATAATTGAACCAGATCAGTAAATAGGTTGGATTTCGGGTCTACTAAGATCTATTGCCATCCCTAATTTCACACAATGCATCCCTACCATCTCCATATAATGCAATTATTACGTTTACTTATATCTGTTGAATTATGGTTGCTGAAAATGTATCTTGAGATGAGATGTAAGCCTTACATTTGCTATATCAATATTTGGATCTTCCATGGCCTTGTAAAGCGTGCCTTTGAACTCTTGTATTACTTTTTCAACTTCCTCAAGAACTCGTTTAAGGATTCCAACCTGAAAATTTCACAAATTTCATTCTTAATGAAAAGAGGTAACATGTACATAATTAACTAGACATCCAAAATTAAGTCTACAAAAGCAAGTGTTCAAATGCCAAACATATTAATTCATTCCTGTACCCAGCTTCGGTCATAAACTGAGAACCTCATTACAAAAAGCAACTTATCCATAATATGACACCAGATGGGAGGAAGGCTGGAGTGGTAATGCTCAATAGATACCATCAAAATTCCCAGCTTGAAATTCAATAACTGAATTCAGCGTTCAATAGCAGTTAAATCTTAAGTTAAAATGGGAGAACTGCTTGGACCAATGTCATGATGAAGCAAAGAATGGATAATACCACAAAAAAAAAAAAAAAAAAATTAAAGACTTCATGCTAACTCAAAAGGTGATATACATGTGCTCACGAAAGAATGAGAATGTGGTGTGTATAAGCTACAGACAGAGAAGTAAAGACAGAAAGAAAATGCACTCCTGTTGCGTGAAGCAAAGAGAGAAGCAACTAGAACTTCCACATGTTTTACATCTCGCCTAGGACATAGAAAAAGGCTCCAAGAGTGATCAACAAAGGCTAGGATCATAGCCCACAGACAAAGAAAAGGTCTACAATACAAATGGTCAAATATTTCCAAAGTTTGTAAACACTACCAAATGAAGTAAGATCAGATAAAAGACAATTTAACAGATTAAGGGCATACAAACACTTGATATCAGACAGATATCTAACAGCAAAGCAGAGATCCATACATGAGACGGCAGAACAATGGATTTTGCTTTGCGGTACTCTCTTACAGCCAAATCATATTCACCCTTACTGATGCTCTCACGAATTGCACTAGGAAGGTTGAAAAGTGTTCGGAACCTCTGAAGCATGCCCTGGACAGACCTAATTTTCTCTGCTTGTGCCTGTAGATTTCATTGGTTTATGTTATAATCATTAAATGTAAACTCACAATAACATCATTATGCATTAATGAACAATCCTGAGCTACCTACCTGTCTCTCAAACAGAGGCCCAAAAGCCCGATTAGAAAGTCCATAAACCTTTTGGATACAGTTATGTAATTGAGTGGTTCCAGCTCCATCAGGGTCTTCCTCAATACGTTTCATCTTTGACTCAATATCTTGAATAGGAAAGATATGTTAGAACTTCCAACTATTGTGGATCAGATACAAAATAGGGTGCTATAAGGTCCAACTGACCATCTATAGTGGTCTTGCAAGAGACAAAGCAATCAAAGTTCTCTTTGACCAACTGCTTTTTCTGTTGTGTACGTCCTCTAAGATCGTTCTTTAATGAAAAAGCACCAGATTCCAAATCTGCAGCACTAGTATCCATGTGCACCCGTGATACAAAAAGCTTTGCATCAAACTTCTCTGAATAATAGTTTAATTTTTCTGCAGAGACATGAAAACAACATGCTTGTTCATACCAATCAACCATTTTCCTTTGCAATTTGTCAAGTCTGTGGTGACTTTTAGGCAGCAGCAAGAAGCAAAACTCAATACCAGATTATAATAAATTTGAACCTCACATTATCCAAGGTTCAGTTCCAAATTTTCTCTAACCAGTGAAATGAACAAGAAGGATTTCCATAATTTTAATTTTTATATCTACGTTCACATTTTCAGATATCCCATAAATGAATTACGAGTAATCAATGTAGAAAGTGATACTTGCAGAACGAACAAAGCCAAATGCAACAGAAATTTACAAAATTAAGAAAGACAAATGACCTAGTCTACAAGATTCCTCAGAAACATCAACAATAAAGACAAAAGAAAAGGTCCTGCATGCCTGGCATATACACAAAGGTCATTTTTTAGTTTTATTAAAAATAAAACTCTTCACAATATCCAAAAATATACCAAGCAAAAAGAAACAATAACAGAAATAGTCATAACATCCAACAAAGTCTATCTCCACTGCACATGCCAAATGGACAAATCGAGTCAACATATCATTCCAACCTTCAAATCAATCAAAGTAACATCATAAAATAGAGAAAAACAGCATTCAACTATTGCGCATTCTTCAAATGATTGCAAAATAAAAATAACTCAATGAACAATAAAGCAATACCTCGATCCTTTGGATCAAGAGGTTCCACATCACGGGCAGGAGAAGGAGCAAAAGCAAGATTATTATCGCTGATCAGCCTAAATGTTTTGTGATTAATTAACCTATAAAAATATAAGCTTTAGATTAGTAAACAATCATAACCCAAGCACTCCAAGAAAGCCAAATATAAAATTTACCCTAATCCAAGAGGATCCACAAATTCCATGCCTCGGGGAAGTGACTGTATACTGTTTAGTCCTTTTGGTTTAATCCGATCTATCTTTTGAACCACAGGAACTGCTTTTGACTCCCTCATTTCACGAACCCTCCGTGCCAACTGCCAAAGAAACTCCACTTGATAAAAGTATTGCCAAGAATGAACTTAATAAATTGCAACCAATAAATGGGTTTGTTTGTTTTGGGTTTGTCATTTGAGTTTTAGTTTAAATAGTATTTTGATGTGATATTTTGTAAGATAAAATACTTTATTTTATTGGAAATAGTGGTGATTTGGGTTTGAAACCCAAACCAAGCACACTGAATGAATTGCAGCCTAATGTATAGTAACCAATATTCAGGTAGCTAATACACAAGTAAAAAGTGAATAAGCTTCTTCATTCTTAGTTTCTTACATGTTTCTCTTCCATGAGTGGCAAATAGGAGGTAGATTAAAGAAGCTAAGTGGATTCACTACATTAAGACAAAAGGAGGCACCTCCTAAAATGGAGATCACCAAGGTAATCAAACAACTCTATGTTGTTAAATGAGTTCCTTTTATACTTGAAATGGCTAACGACCGATATTTTTTTGCAGTACACTACCAACTAGAATCTGGATATATGAATCCATTCATCAACTCTTAACTCCCAAGCAATATAACAGATCTGCTCTGGTTAACTTAATTTCTGTAAAGTCTATTATTTAGGAAAAGACAAATCACATCAGTTGCCCATAAAAGAATAACTGCAAAAGTTGGGCTCGCCACCAACATAAGTTGCAAAATGGCTCCCTTAGACAGTAAACTGCCCAGCCTATAATAATTTTACTCATCAAATACTTCAATACTCAGATTTCTTAAGGAAGTCACATTTCTTCTTCTGATTTCATTAGTGAAGTGGAGATTTCTCCATTGAGAAGATATATAATATAAGATTTTAGATAGTCTTAACCCCTCCCCTAGCCCGAGCTAAAAATAGGAAATGCACGTATAAGGACAAACTTAAGCCAGGCTAAAGTTTACATAATCTCTAAAGCACAGATATTCTGAAAAGCTCGGATTGAATGAACAAATAAATAGAAGAACTTCATAGATTAGGAGTTAGCAAATGAAACAATAGATTAAAACATAGACATTGAAAAATACTCTATACCTCAGCTTCATCAACGCGTTTCCAACAATTCGGCTCTTCTCCATCCCACGCTTTATCATCGTCTCTCCCACCTCCAGCCCGAGGTCTCGGAGCTACCCCGCCTCGATCATCCTCGTCTCCCGAGGAGATGCTCAGCATCTCTACGTCCGAATCATCGTCCTCGTCCATTGACGGCTTCCTATGCTTACTGACACCCTTCTGCTGCTGGGGCATCACGTTAGAGCTCTTAGCGGCGGCCGGCCCGCGGTTCGCCGGCGGCTGGACGTAATTGCGCACAGGTTTCGCCGAACCATGAGATGGTTTCTGGTAATTAACATCCCGCTGGGACTGCTCCTTCAGAGCCATCTGCAACAACTCATCCTCGTCCAGATCGTCGCCATCGCTCGACATATTTAGTGGAAATTTCAATGATTATGTCCCTGCGCGAGTAAATTTGAGAAAAATCCTGAATTGGATCTGCGCAGATGGATCATGGAACGGAATGGGGTCGGCTCTGCGAAGAAGGCAATGGGAAGTTATCTGGTGTGATGCGGAACACATATGGCACATTACAGCGGATCACTCTGCCGACACGTGTCATCCATAGAGAGATTTTTAATTTGTTCAATTATTTCTTACCCAATTTTTTATAATATTATTAAAAAATATAATATATACCAATGCTATCACAATATATATAAAATATACACATTATTTCTTTCATAAATCAATAATTTAATTCAAAATATTATATTCGTTCAGTCCGATTTTAAGGTCATATTTACAAATATTTTTATATTTGTACAAATATTCTTATATTATTATTATAGTACACTTTGTACTATAGTATTGATATAATAATTAATATTCAAATATCGAAGTCGAAAAAAAAAAATAAATGAAATCTTAAAAGCGAACTATGGTACTATTTTATACTAGTATTAAACTTAATTTTCTATATCTAACACCAACAATAAATACATTAGAAAAAAAAAAAAAAAAAATGAGCTAACCCTTTAAATTTTTGGAGGTTTCTTCTCCAACCATACGTTAAAAAATATTCTTTTTATATTTTATTTTACATAATTTTTAAAAGGCAAAACAGCTAAAAAAAAATCTATGTGATTTACCGAATCTGCTTAAAACCCCCTAGTCTTAAAACTCCAAAAAACTTACTCGTAGTTTGTAAAACGTTGCACACTCGCCCCCTTTTAAATCATATTGACAGCGTTAAATTTTACCCTCATCAGACCGTTATGTCCTTGTGGTTCTCTCTCTTCTGTTATTTCTTCTTCTCTTCTTCTCTTCTCCACAACCTCTTTCTTCCATTTCTTTTCTTCCCCAAATTCTTCTTCAGACATCTTCTTCCTCAATTTTTCTCTTCTTCTTCAATTATTTCTCTCTCTTCTTCTGTTCTTTCTTCTTCGCTTCATTATTTTCTCTTCTCCCCAACTTTTTTCTTTCATCTTCTTTTCTTTGAAGAATGAAGAATTGGAAAATAATAAAAATAGAAAGAAGATGATGGCAGAAGCGGCTGAAAGTAGGGAAGAAGGAAGGAAGAAAAGAAAGAGAAGAAAGAAGAGAAGGAAAAGAGAAGGGCTGGATACCATTTTTTTTTTCTCCATTTTTTTTTTCTTTTTCTATTTTTTTTTTCCCCAATTTTCTTTCTTCTTTATTTTTTCTCTCCAATTCTTCCGTACACCGTTGCAACCAGAAGCAAACAGGTTTTTCTTTCTTCTTTCTCTATCTCTTTTTCCCCCAATTTTTTTTTTCTTCCTAATTCTTCCGTACGACCGTTTCTTTTTTTCTTTCTTTTTAGATTGATTTCAAATCTTGATGTCAAATTGATTTCTTAAATTTTTTGGGTTTGCTATTTCTGGGTTTTATAAAACACAAGAAGAAATATTTCTGAGTTTGGTAAAATAGAAGAAGATCCATGTCCGGTCGATTAATTGTGATAATTTTGGGATCGGTGTTGAATTTGGTTGTATTTAACGGATTTTAAATAAAAAAATGAATTGAGAGTAAGTTCTGAAAGTATGAATAACAATAAGAAAGAAGAAGAATAAAGAAGAAGAAGAACGAGGGAGAAGAAGAATAAGGAATAAGAAGTCATTAGGTATTTCAGTAATTTTACACATAAATATATCACTTTATAAACAAAAAAATCGCATTTCAGGCGCGTGGTATACAACCTCCATTAAATCCTAACGGATGGGGGATTTTTTGCAACGTTTTACAAACCACGAGTAGATTTTTTGGAGTTTTAGGACTATGGGGTTTTCAGCAGATTTGGTAAACCACATGGGTATTTTTTGCTGTTTTGCCTTTTTAAAATTACAAATAAAATTTAATATTTTATTATTTTTATACATTTAAGTTATAATAATATTTTTAATTAATATTTAAATATTATACCGATAAATTATATTTATTAATATTTTAATATATATTTAAATTAAAGCATAAAAATATAAATATAGATTAAAAAAAAAAACAATATTATTTGTATGTAGTGCTTTTATAGAAAAATATTGTATGTAATATTTATTATTTCATGCAGATGATGATGGCAAGAGACATGTTCAAGAAACATCCGTCAGGGTCTAAAAGAGGATTCCAGTTTGATCACGTTTTCGAAATTATGAATAATTTAGAAAAGTTTAAAGACCATAACGAACCTAGAAATTTACATAAAAGTTCTCGGCAAAATTTCGCAAGTCACATGTCATTGTCGGAGGAGAACGCTACATTTGAATCTTCTGAACTTTTGGCATTTACTACGAATTTATTTAATGAAAATGTTGAAGGTGAATCATTTCGTTTCAATGATGAGTTTAGCGACTCTTCTCACGAACGACCAATAGGTGTGAAAAAATCAAAGTTCAAAAGAAAAATGATGAAGTGTGGGCGGCTGACTTTGCGAAGTTGGATAAGCACAATGCAGAACTTCGGGAAATGATGAAGAACAGTGCTTCTGATAGAAAAAAATATTTTATGCTTGAAGAAAAAAAAATAGAAATCACACAAGCCAAAAGATAAATAAAATTATGTGAGTCGACTTGAGTACTATCACTAATTCTACTGCTTATGCTTATTATAAACATGAGCAAGATAAAATTATGCGCAAAAGGATGGGAAATCCACCGGAAGATGCTTGTCGGGTTTTAGCCAATATTTCAATGATTTGGATGAGAATCCAAACGATTTAGATGATGAATAGATATTGCATGTTTAATTCAATATTATTTTCTAAGTTTCTTTAAGTAATTTTGAATAATATTGTACACATAATTTTATATTGTATTCTTAAGTTTATCTTTTATTTAATATTATGATATTTTTTATAATTAATGTTATATTTTATTTATAAATATTATAATAGTTTAAATTTAATATAGATAATTTTATAATTATTTTACCATAATCAATTAATTATAAATTTTAATAAATATTAAATAAATAAATAATTTACTATAAATATTAATTACAAAATTATAATAAAAAATAATAAAATTAAAAGTAACAAAAATAAAATAAAATATATAAAATATAAGCTTAAAACAAACTAAAAATAAAATAAAATATAAAAATATAAACAAAATAAAAAAAATTTATTTTGTTGATGATATTTAAAAAATTAAAAATTAAATAAATATAAAAAAATAGATAACTACATAAATAAATAGATTATTAAAAAAATAGATAACTTTATAAATAAATAGATAATTGTATTAAAAAAAAAAATGCACCCGCCGATTCCAGCGGGTGAATTCTACAAAACTGCAGGGTGGGTTGTAGCAGTAATTTTCTCCCCACCCTGCAAAAAAATAGAGAAAATCTCCTCGGTTGGAGATGGTCTTAGAAGGTTTTGGGGAAATTTGAGTTTGAATTTAATTTTTATTTGAATTTTGAAGTGAGTTTGAATTTATGTGTTTCTTTTGTATTTAGGTTTGGAATGAGTTTGGAGAGTTTTGATGTGTATTGATTTGATGGTAATAAATATAATAATATAAATGTGTATTAATATGTATAATTTGATTATAAATTTATATTATACATACATATATATTTCTAAATTTATATTTATTTGTATTATAATAAATTTTATTCTCTAAAAAATGACATATATATTGTATATATTTTATTAAATTATAATTATTATAATTTTTTATATTTATAATTTTAAAAAAAAAAACAAGAAAAAAACAGAGCAGACTGCGTCTGTCCCCGCAAATCGGCTCCAGCCCAAAACTTGGCTGAGAAATACAACTATATATTTTATCATCTTAAAATATTTGTTCGTCCGCCTCTTAAGGTCATATTTATTTTTTGTGTCATTGTACTTAACATTAAAAATATTTTTATATTTGTATAATTTTTTTTTATGCAAATGTCATTTTATTAGTATTATAAGACATTAATAGAAGTATTTTTAAAATCCAAAAAAGTCATTAAAATGTCAATTGAATACACCCCCTTAATAAGGTAGAATCTCTATTATTATTATTATTATTATTATTATTATTATTATTATTATTATATTTTTCAACTGAATTATCTGTTTTACCGAATAAAATTCTTTTATCTCTATTGAATCATACTTTTGTATTTTTACAATTTTCTCTTCTACTCTCAGTGTTTGGTATACATATGATGTCACCAAAATAGAAATAATCTCCTTTATTTTTTATTTTTTTCCAGTGGTGACAAAGAATTGACAATTAAAAATTAAATCATTTTTTATTATTTGATTTTATTTTTCTCTATATAAATAAATGTAAAAATTGATAATTGAGAGTACATTCATTCTAATCTTTTTTCCTTTCATTTCTATGTTTAAGAGCGATAAATAAAAAATCAAGAAATAAAAATAATATATTTTTCAAATTTTATTTTTCTTCTTAAATTCAAATAAACAAGATAAATAAAAATATTTTCGTTTTTCTACTCTTATTTCACTTATGGATCGTTTGGTACAAATAATAAAATAGTAAAAAATGATGAAAAAATTTGAAATTGTAAAGAAAATGAATTTAAATGAAAATTATGGCCCGATTTTATGTTTCAATGAATAATTATAAAAGCAATTTTTATTAAAAAATAAAATAAAATAAAATAAATTGTGTGAATATAATGAAATTGAAGGTGTTTTTAAAATGTTAAAATTATTAAATAGGACATAGCAATATAAATATATTTTTTTTATAGAACTTTTCTAATTTATTTTAAAATTTTATAAATTATATTTAAAAAAATTTAAATTATATATACTGATTGAATATATATTTATTCAATTTTATGTATACATTATATTTGTATTTTTTTATTTTTTATAAAAATAAACATTGAAAAAAATATAAATAAAATTTAATCTATAAATTATTTTAACTTTATAAATTATATTTTAAAATATTAAATATTCTACTATATTATTAAAATTTATATTTTCAAATTTTGATATTTTAAATTCTATATTTTAAATTTAATTAAAATAAAAAATATATAAATTAATAATTAAATTACGG